GGGAGGCGGACAGGGGCGGGCTGAGGGGGGCTGCTGTGGCCCACGCTGCGGGGGAAGCCGCGCTCACCCGGGAGGAGGAGAGGGGGTAACCGAGGCGCTGTCTCCGCCCGCCGCAGGGAGCGTGCTGGACCAGAGCCTGGAGAGCCTGCTGCACCGCCTGCGCGGCCTCTGCGACAACATGGAGCCGGAGACCTTCCTGGACCACGAGATGGTGTTCCTGCTGAAGGGGCAGCAGGCCAGCCCCTTCGTGCTGCGGGCACGGCGGTCCATGGACAAAAGCGGGATGCCCTGGCATCTGCGCTACCTGGGCCAGCCCGAAATAGGCGACAAGAACCGCCACGCGCTGGTGCGCAACTGCGTCGACATCGCTACTTCGGACAACCTGACGGACTTCCTGGTGGAGATGGGCTTCCGCATGGACCACGAGTTTGTGGCCAAAGGGCACATGTTCCGCAAGGGCATCATGAAGATCGTGGTGTACAAGATCTTCCGCATCCTAATGCCAGGAAACACGGAGAGCATCGAGCCGCTCTCCCTCTCCTACCTGGTGGAGCTCAACGTGGTAGCGCCAGCAGGACAGGACGTCGTTTCCGATGACATGAGGAATTTTGCTGAGCAACTGAAGCCTCTAGTGCACCTGGAAAAAATCGACCCTAAAAGGCTAATGTGACTGAGAAGCTGGGCAGTTAAGGGAGGGGGTTTGTTCGTGTTCCTGAAGAGGGTGCTTTTTTCTCAAAAGCCTTTTGAGGGCAAACCAAAACAGGGGGAGGGGAATAAAGGACTACACATCAAGTGTTTTGTCCACTGCAATCACTGAGTATGTTTTCTCCTTCGTCTGTGGATGTGAAGACAAGCAGACACTTTAATACCATTCAAAAGATCAGTAAATGCTATTAGTTTTCCTTCTCCTTTTGGGGAGATGTGTGTTAGAAAGCATATTGCCTAACAATCCACAAACATCACGAGTTACTAGAATTCAGCCTTCTGTGTACCCACAGCACCGTTCATGTACCCTACCTAGTCATCCAAAATTTTCTTTTAAGTAACACATGAAGTTAATAACCTTTAAGGCAGGAGGTGTTAACACAAGCATAAACCCAGGAACTACACAGTATAAAAGAGCAAGAGTATACCTGTCTACAACAGAGTAGCAAAGTAATAGCACATGTAAGGGGAACAGCTAGGACACAAGGTACATTCTAGTGAAACTGTTTGATATAAACAAAGGTAGAACTGGAAACCAATTTAGCAATGTTACAATTGCAAGAGGTTTTCAAATCTTTTGCTGTTCCATGTTTTTCACTGAAGCTGGGTGTGGCAGTCTTGGTTGATGAGAAAGCAGTAAATTACATGGGGTTTTTTTATCATTAGACTTCTCACACCTAGCAGCAATATTGAAAATTGACACATCAAACAATTAAGAGCATCATACAGCTACTAATTCAACTGGTGATGATTGTTTAGCACCTCTCTTGAAAGCAAGATGCTTAGTTACTCTCCTGATACTTCAAGGATATTTGAATTAGGTTTGAGAGTTTTCAAATACAGTTCAAACAAAAAAAGGTTGGGAAAAGCAGCCAAAGCAGCTTATTTAAATTTCTCAAGTTCTTTACAGAAGGCATCCATTTTACCCATTACTAAAACGCACCAATCTCTGTCAGACACATTGCCACCCTTCAGCACCACACAACTCTCTATGTGACAACTAAAGGCAAAGACCACTCCCGCAAAAAGCTTAAAAAAAAAAAAAAAGCACCTTTTAAGGTAACAGCTACATTTTCAACACCAGAGTTTGGACCAGATAAGCCACGGCAGCTGGATTAGTGCTCACCGAGTGCAGCGTCTCAAGTGTTCCACTCATACAGGCTCTACATACCAGGCATGGGGACAACCAAGTACTTGTACACCTGCTGGAGAACACCACTGTTGAATATATAGCAATGATTTCCAACAGGCTACAAGCAATGAGGTGACCTGCGTGACTGCTCATTACCTAGACTGGAAATACTTTCTGGAGGGTACAGACACACCTACAATTCTTGTGTTTTTACTCAGCCATGACTCAGCCCCACCAGACAGCGCACTGTCCTGGGCCTCCCAGTCTGGTATTCCTTGGATCCTGTTACAGGGCATAACTTCCCAGGGGGCAAGGGGTAGGTCCCAGAGCTCTGCCTGTACCGAGGAGCTGAACTTGCCAGGTTGCTCAGCAATTCAGTTGCAGTCCCACCCTGGCAGGTGGGAACCCTCAGAGCTTTTGTCATATCCTGCCACTGTAACACTGGCTAGGAATTGCTTGCCACAGACTTCCACCATCCATGGCTTTTCTCTTGTGACAGGAAATTTTAGAAATTCATGCAATGGATCAGGAAAGTTGAACATTGTATGCCAGCTTTTCAAAGGGTAGGTACTTGTAAGTACAAAGACACAAAAAACAGGAAGTACACAGGTCCTTCCTGTTGCATCCGAAAGGAACTCGCTTGGTAACTTACCTTCCAAGTTTCTTTAAGTGGAGGGGCAAATAAGTCAGAGTGTTGACCTTAATGTAATGGTGATAAAGAGGAAAATCCCACATGGAATTTCAGGCAGACCAGCTCAAGCAAAAGGAGACTGAATGTAAAGTTCCTAATCGAAGTTTTTACATTATAGATGACAATAGGTCTGACTATGCTTGGTCTAAGTTCTCAAAAATAATAATGATCATTTAAAATAGTTCTTTTTAAGGAGAATTAGTTTAAACCTTAAAAACTGCAGCAATCCACATTACCAGCCTTCCTTATTCTAGCTGTAGTCTATGCATAGAAGAGGCAGGTGTGCAGAGGCAAAAAAAGCTTACTGCATCAATGGTTACAGCTGAAGGAAAATGGACACTTTCAGGCACCTAGTGCTCAAAGCATGGAGACTAAAGATAATAGCAATACTATTGGTAATACACACTGGTAAATTGCATGGCATAACCCTAACTAGTTATTATATCTAGGGTCAAATAATATTGTAGTTACACAGACAGCTACAGAAATGCTCAATTTCTCCTTACAGGAAAGTATGTTTTTCTTAAATTACATGCATAACTTAAGGGACCAAGAATGTGACTGTATTCTTTTTATTTCAGGGGATTTTTTTGCCAGCTAAAGTAACTGCATTCTTCAAGGGCAGGGCTTACCTCAGGACTCTGTATTTGCAATATATTGCCCAAGGCCTGATGCAGCTCAGCTGAAGATAAGTTTCCTTTCTGTGCAAGTAATGCCTTCTGTTATTTCAAACTGTTCCTCCAGTCTTGCACACTTAAGGTTTCTACAACTTTATTGATTACTACATAAAAAGTAGAAACTTCTGCATAACAAATACAAGTAAGATTGTTATTGATCCATTAGGCACAGGCTACTTCTGCTGTTAAGAAAAGCTTCCTCTATAGAAGCTCATCTCAGTTCTTAAAAATTCCTTCATACTTTAGAAAAAGCTGCAAGTTTACCCTTTGGCATTCCTCAGTCCTGGATCTCTATTCTTCCCATGGAAACTTCCATAATGTTTTTAATTCTGTACAAAGACAAGAGCTAAAATACTTTGGAAGTGCTCTATATTAAAGACTATACTGCAAAAGAACATCTTTTAACGTGCCTCTCATATGCTAGCACAAAACAAGCTTTTTGATACATAAACTAATGTGGCATTCAGGTTTTCATCTCAATAACCTCAGTAATACAAGCAAGCTGCTTTCCTGTTAAATGTTTTCCATACGTTACAATATTGTATATAACTTTATCCATGATCTAGAAGTTGGTTAAAAGGTAAAATGTTTTAAGTAAGTTTCTCCAAAGCACTGAAAGTTAAAAATAACTACAAACCAGAATTTTTCTTCATAATTTTTAATACTTTTCACTTTTAAATACTGGTTTAAATTTGTGATTGTAACACGGAAGAGCCAACTTCTTGTAATTTTTAAAACTTACCATTAGGATCATAAAGCTATTATAGAACAGTTACACTCTACACACTCGGTACTCAAAAATATGATTCATGTTTTAAGTCTGTAGATGAACAGTAGCAATTCAAATACAGCGTTTCTGTACAACTTGACAAAAATACAGGTGGACACTCTGATTAAAGAGAATCTGCACAACTTCAGATAAGCCAGCTCAGCCCAATTAAGTAAAAAGTATTTTTTTTTTTTCCAAAGTGCATCACATTTTTCACAGATAATTTTGTCAAAATAAGATGTTCAGGTTCTCAGACAGGATAACAATGACCATCTCATCCTCATTCCCAGTAGAGGTTCCATCAAGTAATTTCCTTCAGATCTACTTTGGCAACATCCAAATTCTCCAAACAGATGCAGATATTCACAGAACGCTATCTGATGGAGAAGACTGCTGCATTCTCAGCCCTTCAAATCGCTTCAGCTTATAAAAACAACCATTCTAGAGTCAGGAGCTGCTTCTGCAAAGACCATCACAGCTGTATAAATACAACTGATCCACTAACAGGAAGAAGTGAACTCAGAGCACACAGGTATGTGGCAGTGACTGAAAAGAGGAATGGACTCAAGAGGTGGGGCAAATTTTTTAACGCCATAAAAGCAAGATCCCTTCCAGAAGGAAGGATCTAATGGCTACTTGCACACAGACAATCCGAGAGGCCCACAGAGAACTGCCTTTTTTAATTTGTTTTTAAAGAGGTCAATTAATACCAATTTCTCAATCTTGCAACTCCTTGCATATTCTTTAAGAAGCCTCTTAGGACTCTGGGCATGGCTAGCTGTAGTGACATACCAGTGCCTTTATATCTAAAAGTAAAATGTATTCTTTGCAAATAGTATCTGTAGTGTAATAATATTTACAGAATAAATCGCAAAAGTACATCACATTTAGTGCAAATGCAACTAATGATATAAGTTTATATACTGTTTTGTAAACTTTCCATACCTTTGTAAAATAAAACTATCCAATTAAATTAATAAACTCACCTGTGTTCTGACAGTTACCAGAAATGGCAAATAAGGAGTTAAACTCTTTGTTGTTTTTTTTTGTTGTTGTTGTTTGTTTTTGTTTTGTTTTTTGTTTTGTTTTGTTTTTAAAGTTCCCATCAGTGGCTATGGTGGAATGAGCCATTGCTTGGTTGATTGTAAAAAGATGAAGTACATTTGAGGTATAAGATTATTTTTTTTTTAAACGTCGCTATATAAAATGCTCACTGGTGATACAGTAAACGTACAAATTTTCATCTTATTTGCCTTACTAGCATTACCATATAGGCACTTTTTGACATATTCAAATTAACAGAGCAACTCTGTAATAAGGCATATTCCATGCACTCCATTATAGAAAGGCAAATAAAAAGGGAAGAGTTATGGAGCATGAAATCTGCATGCACGTGTAATCATGTGTTATGTACGATTTCATCTCTACAGAGAAGATGAACTGATCAGGTTTTTCAACACTGTGCAGATCACATTTAGTCATTTACTAAATCTTCATTAAAATACTATATTATATTTATTTTCAGGCACCTATCATACTATATCAAATAAGACTTTCAGCTTGCTTTTGAAAAAAATATATCTGAAACTTTTTTCTTGAGATACACAGGTTACTGAAACACCGAGCAGTCTCTGAAGAGCTTCCAACTATGGGACATGGATAAAAGACCTCAAAGTCAGTACCAGTCTGCCACAGTCCTCTCCTAATGAGCATCTCCAGAATCAAAGGCAGGCAAATACGTGACATTTAAATTCTCACAGCAACTAAAGGGAACTTTCCAATAAGAACTATGTATCCTTTTATCTCTGATGGGCTTTTGATCAAGACACAAGTCATTTTCTACATAAACCACATAGCATGGCTTTATTAAGATGAGGAAGACACATGCAGGATCTGAAAATAAAGTATTCATCCTCATTCTAGACTGGGAATGTTGTCTTATGTAGTCCAAATTACTTCAATAAATATTATAGTGTACCTTCTCACAGCTTTGGGAAAGCCCTGGATATCATGCAAGAGAGCAGTCCACATACAGCATGGACAGATGGCTTCTAGCTTTCAGGCAGTCTCTTGCCCTCTCATACAGAATCCTCCTAGATATTTCTGGATGATGTTTAATAACAAAAATTCTGTAGCACATATTACATAACTAAAAAATACAATAGAAATATAAAGATATCTGGAAAAAATAAAGCTTTTCACACTCTTACTCCTTCAGAACCAAAGATCGTCATAAGAGTAAGACAATAGAAAAGGCAAAGTCATAAGGATATTGACAGCCCTCAGTTATTAACTGACATTTTATGTAACAAGATGATTCATTATAGAAACCAGCAGCAATGAACTGTGATTATTCAAAGCAAAACAAAACCTGCCAATAAGTCACCTAGGCTTTACTGAAGTCCCTCCTTCCCCCCGCAAATACCACATAGATTTTTGTGCATATAAAGCACATACAGTATGCTATATGTGCATTTGTCTTTTGTGCTTTTTAGACATGCACAAAAACTGCGTGAGTATCTTAGGAAGGTTGACAGTGAAATTCTGCAACTTGTTTAAAATTAAAGCAGTAACCCATGTTGGTAATTCAAAGTTGTATGCGTTCTTCCTCTTTTAAAGCAAGCAAATAAAAATAGAGCCGTAGACATGTTATCAATACTTGTATTTATAATTACACACTGATTCGGCAAGAAAAAGTTAGCTGGCGAGAGCTAGTGTTAAATATTCAGCCTCATGGTGTTGCAACATTTCTTCACTTCAGTATACAAAGCCTAGAACTTGGGCCATTAAAAGACTGTAGATCCTTCATTCCAGCATGGAGTGCTGTATGAACGGTCACTTCTCCAATGTGGAATGCTCACCCAGTCTTGTTCCCATTGCTGCAGGTAAGCAAACATAAAAATACAGCACTGAAAAGTTTGAACATTAATAGGAAAGCAAGAACTTGTTAAACACCTTAAATAGTATCAGCGCTGCTATGATCATGTATGAACTGTTGGCTCATGACAGCCGTGTCTTCAGTGGTTCACCTACACTTGTTCTCTAACAACATAAAATGAAAAGTGTGAATCATTACAGGGCTACCTGTTACAGAAGGATCAAATGACGCTGACTTTTGGAGTGTGACATAATAAATAGAACCCAAAAATAGGGGTAGGCTATCTCATGCATACAAAAAGTGATAAAAACTCCTTTTCAGATCATATGTAATACTAGAACTACTGAATAGGATTTGAAAGTTTGACACTACAGTTACACATAATGAAGTATATAGCAAGAGTCTACACTAACAAAAATTAAGCAAAGCTTTACTTAGCACTAAGGCTTATGTCTGACACATTCAGACAGCCCCCAAAATGATCAAGAAATCCTCTTCTAATGTCATATAATCATTTAAATGTTCAAATCATTTTAGATTAGCCCAATGACCTATACTATTAGGATACATCCATTGACTTCAGAAAGCACCTGTAAGTCCCTTTCCTTTCTTAAGGTCATCAGAAAGGCTAAAAATTCAAGTCACAGCCTTTTCAATACTCTAGTAATTGACACTGGTCTTGTCAGAAATGTTCCATTAATAAAAATCCTAGATCAAAACTATTCTGTCAGTGTAAAAGAATACTTTGACCTTCATAATATTTTATCAAACATGCAATTTTAAGTAGAATTCAAGATACCAAAGCCTCATGAGGCTCTAGAGAAACTTCAGTATGTATTCTTTTCAGAACAAGTGTAAAATGCCAGTGACAGCTGAGAAAAAACAATACTTTATCCTTTTAAACTTCTGCATAAATTAGACATGTATGCAAAAACTTGCAAGATAAACTAGTAAGTCTACAAAAACTTGTACTCGATAACTTCTGTAGCCCTTATTTTTCATGTTAATACACAAAAATTACATGAATGTTTTAAATGTATATTGCATACATACATTAAAACTAAGCACCAAATTCATGCTAATCATGATAAAACATTTCTAGATTGCCTACTTGAGTTTGGCCTTAAATTTACAACAGTCAATCAAGAATGAAGAAAATGAATGTATACCTGTTAACACTAGAATAAAATAGGCTTTCCTGCTGTTTTCTCTTGCACGTATGATGTGAAACGCTTCAGGAATTTTGGATATTCTCGTTTTGCCACTGCCCGTAACACTGATGCTGGCGCCCATCCTCCTGGGTTCACTAAAAGTAGACAGGAAGACAGACATTGAAATACAGCAAACCCACTAAAGGCTAGAAAAGAGAATTTAAGTTCATTATTTCTGCAGCTCTTTCTGAAGTAACAGGAAAGAACAGTGATCAGCAGGGTTTTTTTTTATGCCCTTACAGCTTGTATTGTAGCACTTTCTACTCTTAATACTCCAGTTTAGTCCAGTTCTATGATGCCATGATTTAGAAAGCTTTAATCGTGATGTGCTGTGAGTCTTTGGGGAATGCCCAAATAGAAGATTATATTCTCTAAGGAATTCCCAGAAACAACAGAAAAAGACACTTGTGTTACTAATTTCACAGAAAACAGAAGTCAGTCTTAACTTTTCAATAACTGCTGCATTTGTCTGCAGAATTGCTACATAGCCAATGTATTCCAAATTATTTTTAAAGCACTTTAAACAAAATTCAAACTAATTCTAAAATACGTTTCAATTCACAGGGCAAGTATTTTGCTGAAAAAGCTGCCACTTCCCATACAATCATAGTTCAGAATTTATCAATGAAAATGTATTTAAGTTAATTGGGAAACTTCTAAAAAGGAAACAAAGCAGCTTAAAACAGAGCTATTATTTGTACAGGATTTAATACAAATTACATCACTTCTATATGGCAAAGATTTACTGAACCAATTTTTCAGACTTTGAGTCTTTAGTAAGCCATGTAATAGGTGGCTGAAAGTAATAAGCAGGTGAGCTACTCTTGAAGTGTTTTGTAGCTGCAGCGGGGGAGCCAATAAGCATGTAGCTCCAATAATACAATACACTGCTAAACACTGGGTACAGTAACAATACTGTTTGGCTTTGATAACTTTTCAGTCAATACCAAGGATTCTATCAGTTAAAAAATATTTAAAAACCCCATAGTCTATTATACAGCTTGCAAACATCCTCATACAAAATGTATTTGCTCCTTCTTAACACTGAGGGTAAGAGCTGTATCTTTACTATGAGCAGCTTTTCAGCTTAACAAGATGAATCGGAGGAAAAAAATTACAGCAATACATGAAAAAACCATCCTACTACTGAAACTAAAAGCCATGCCAAGTCATCCCAGCTGCAGACATTTTTTCTGCCCACCCTCCTCCACACCAAGGTTCTGTACTTAGGACTGAGCTACACACCACTTCTATTTATTTCTTCCAGAACACCACATAATAAATCATCCCATTCACTGATTCATGCAGCATGTTAATTTGAGTCTTCCTGAACATGAAGACCACAAGTGTGATGCTGTATATAAATTTAACAGAAAATTGCATCAAACTTTTTTTACCAGTATTCAGCTCCCCAGAATTAGCATACACCACGAATATCATACTGTAAATTTTAGACTTACCATTAGCTACATATGTAATCTTGCATAGGATGTTGTCCCTGCTTATTTCCTTGTTCCCCTCTGGTGGACTTACTAATGTCTGACAAATCATAGCAATATTTATTTTGGCACGGACACAGCGATTGTTCAGCTGCCAAAAAAATGAAACATTTGTAAGCCTCAAACTAAATTTGTTTTGGTATACTTGACTGCTAACATTTTAATTTACTATGAAGTCTAAGACACTCCAGAAACTGTGTTTCTGAAAGTTTGTATTCTAGCACTACATGGGTGCAACATGAATGTGAGTGAAACAAAAGGTACATGGTGAATAGGGAAAGGGTTAAACTAAATGCCTGAATCTCAGGTTTCTGCGTGCTTAATACATATTACAAGCGAATTACTTCAATTATTGTGACAAATGAGTAAAAGAAACATTTAAATAATAATGCATCAACACTTACAAGTTATCAGTAATTTTTCCCTTGTAAGCAGGCAATGGCATAGCAATAAGCAGAAAAAACACCCCAAACAAAACAATCATTGCTACTATCTGACAGAACCAAGGCAGAGCTGTGTAAGATGGAGGTTTAACAGATTCCATATCTATAATTATACAAGCCTACTCCTGTATCTGACAGTATTGAAGAGTTGTTGATTTGATTCCATACAAAATAACTTCAATTCCTTAAAAAGTTTTCACATCTCCAGAAATTTTGCTTGCATTCTGCTGCAACACCTTAGATCTGCCAACTGCTGAGATAAGGCGAGAAAGCTTTTGGCTTAGAATGCCTTCATCAGGTCATTGTATCACCTGGTTTAAATAAACTGTATTTTTGCATAACCCCCCCAACCCCCCTCACACTAGTATTTCACATGCATTACCACATAATAGAAAAATGTTATCTTAAAAACAGAACTTGATAGAATGAAAATAATACTTACAGGAGCACTGTCATGTTCCACAGAGAAATTGCACACAATCCACGTTTCAGGATCATTTTCACTGAATGCTGGTATCTTCCTGATGGCAGACAAATAGAGCACATCCCTTTGAGAAGCTGGCCACACCCTCTGCAGAGAAACACATGAATATAAACTTTTCCAGTTTTGCAAATTAAGTACTTGCTATGCTTAAATAAAAAAACAAGCAAGGCAAACCAGGTCAGTCATGTTATTTAAGTAAAAGTTTCTTCAAGTTAGTAATTTCATTTTCAAAACTGAAACAGAACATAGTGGTTGTACAGATGCATATCAGGTTATATGGCTATGCCTCATTTTAAAAAATTTAAGGCAAAAGTTTAAGGCCTTTGAAATGCAGAAAGCCAAGCTGCAATGACTTTTTCAGTAGACAAACAGGAAGATGCAGTTCCCCTCCTGTTACCTCAACCTCAGCTTTATCTTTTAGTTAATACTTGTAAGCTACAAACAAAACTAGCGGTTAAGTATAAATAGATGCATCTACAGTTACTTATGTCTCCAGAGAGAGGGAGAGGAATATTTAAAACAAATATTATTTCAAAAAGCTACTACTTCAGTAAGACAGATATGGTAAACTGGTATTATCTAAGAGAAAGTTTCAAAAGAAAAATGTCTGATAAAATAAGAATATACACCAAAGCCATTTTCCTGACACTCAAAAGCTAGACCTTTTTCCCCTATTGCCACAACACTACACAGTTGACACAACTGTCTTACTCAAAATCACAAGTCCTCTGTTACAGAAGTTTTAAGGTAACTGCATTACTGGTAAAATTCTCAAAGAAAATATTTGGTTTGAGTATACTAATGCTTGGAATCATTCAAGATTAAAGATGAATCTGTACACTTCATTCCCATTTTTTTGAACCTTTAGGTTAGTTGTTGGGTTATAATTAACATAAACATTTTAGTAAATTTACACTAGAACTGGTTGGGGGCGGGGAACATAATGAAGTTACAAAAACAAACGTTGTACCAGCAATTATCCCACCTCATAACGTAAATGTCTATGTCAACTAATTGTGGTCAACAATAGCTTGCATTATTGCAAGAACATACGATACAGTGGTATAGGTTTCTTCCTTGTAGTCAGCGTTGATTTATTGCTTCCATTTGCTTTAGATGACTCTTGCCTTGCTGGCAGTGATATACTTAGAGATTAAAAACAGTCCTCATTTGTTATTACAAGCTCTATCAGACACATGCACAACCAATTATGCTATCAAGACAAGTTTGAAAAATTGACAAAGTTGTAGTTTAATAGAGAACTTGTTCTGAAATGTTGTTCTGAACAGTATTTTACGTTTTTAAGCCATTAAAATACTCACTAAGATTAGAACACATATGCCCCAGACTGTCTCAGTAAGGTATACATATGACTGAAGTGTTATTACCTTGTGTGTCTGGTAAATGATGATTGCATTATCAGCTAAATTTTCCACAACATGGAAATTTTCAATTGTTGCTAAAAGAGGAGGAAGAAAAAAAAAATCCATCAGTAAACAAGCACAGATATTAGGCCAATGTTATAAACAATCGGCTTGCTAATAAACATGCAAAGCTTAAGAACCAATTCCTTACTTTCCCAGTCATTACGAACATCAACATTCCAGAAGTAGTGGCAAACTTCATGCCCTGTTACCCCTTTAACAGCATGGGTTGCTTTCAAAGGATCTAAAACTATGCCATTCTCTTCCACCTCTCTTCTGTATACCTACAGCCAAACACAAAGAAATGTAGAACAGAAATTGTCAAAACTATTCATGTTTTAATTGTTTAAAATTTCATCAGTTTTTTAAAAAAACACTTACCCAGAAGACTAACACATGAATATTTCCATGTCAGTGTTCTCTGGTAACTACCAATGCAGACATTATTACATGACAATTCACATTAAAATACCAATATTTGAAGAATCTCTACTCCAAAAATAATTAACCTACCTTATTTATCACTACACATAAGGATTCACACGAGCACAGTAGAGCAGTCAACACAGTAACTTGCCACTGTATAACATTTTTGTACATCGAATTTACACATTATTTTGATACCAAGTTTTAAGTAGGAGAGAACGAGAAAGGAATTTGCAAAGACAAAGCTATTGCAATGAGTTATAGGGGTTTTTGTATGAATAAACATATTAGAAGCCACAGCAGCATAACTTGCTGAGTCATAGTATTCCCAGAGAATCATAGAATCATTTAAGTTGGAAAAGACCCTTAAGATTGAGTCCAACCATAAACCTAACACTGCCAAGTCCACCAGACTGAAATTATCTCTCCTCACAGCATATCATCTGGTATCAATCAAACAAAACCCCAAACATTTACCTTCATTTCTCCTTCTTCTACCACTAGCTGCCAATTGGCATCTCCTCCCACATCTTGCAAGGAATATGTCATGTGGTTTTGTACCATCTCTTCCACCTTGAAAGGAAAAAAAAAACCAAACCCACATTAACTCCTTCCTTCCTTCTTCTTGGGCAGAAACTGTGCAGTATTGGAAGTCACAAGTCAATACTTCAAATCCTGTGCAGGGGCTGACTTTGGACAACAGAGCTTTCTATTACAGAGTAAGAACAAGCAGATACTTCTGGCTTTCAGAAACAAAAGCCAAAATCTTGATTCAACTTCCAACTTCATTCTTTATGAGTACTTCCTATCCTTTCTTTGCACCTCTGAATGGTCAAAGCTCACTGTTTCTACTAAAGACAGTTTTATTTCAGCATATAGGAACTTACTTCAGGTATCGCTAAATAGAATTACAATGCACTGTAAGATATTCACTGAAGAGCATCTAAAAGCTGAACAAAGGTGGGGATGTGAGGGAGTAAGACAGACAAGCTCTAAAAAGGTGAGTGCATATCAAAAATCATATTGGAAGAGTAGTGAAGGAAACAATCATGAGCAAAGCATGCCTATTCTGCTTCACTGGCATCTTTGCACAGCTAGAAAAAGAACAGAAATGTTTACATTCAAAAAAAGCCATGATAATACAGAGACTCTATTATTACAAAATATTAATTTAAAAATTATTTAGCTAGAAACTTGTGTGCTTTTCTTAAAGGCCAAATATTTGATACTTTTTTATCAAGGTATGGGAATACCTCATTTTTTAATTCCATATAAAGTGCAAGAAAATGGGTACTGGGACAGAAAATGGATTTTTTAAAAATCTACAACTTTATTCTGTTCCTTTGGTTCCCCACCCCTTTCCAAATCCCACTCTCCCCCAAATAAAAACAGAAGCAAAAATATAAGGTCTCCATTGCTGCATAATGTTTAAAAGTACTGGAAACACTTCAATAACTTTTTTCCACCCAAAAGGTAGGTGACTACTAAACTTGTCACAGCAAGTCCACATGATTGACACTGTTTTCCTGACTTACTAGAAATACCTTTTTTCTTCCAAAAGGAAAAGCACAAGCAAAGGTTAGTTAATTGACCAACACAAAGATTAGTCTATAAAGCGCACAATCACAAGATTATTAGCCTGAACCCATAAGTGGTTTTGCACAACTTACAAAATATGAAGCCTAGTGTGCATATAAAATAAGATATAAAATATATTTGAGCAAGTAGTACAATAAGTAGGAAGCAAAATTAAAGGATACTCAATGATCTCTTTCTGATACAGAATTGAAAGATGTTATTTACTTTTAATTTAAAGCAGTAATTCTGTTTGTACTATGTTCTCCATAGGCAATACACTTAAGACCAGGAAGAAAAAATGTAATTGAATAAAGTAAAAATCCTTAAAGTACAACATCAAAATAAAATCCATCGGATAGAAATTCTAGTTATTTTAACTGTAGACTTCTCTACAGAAGGAAAAGTTATCAGTCCAGTTTGGGGGATTTTCTTTGAGTTTTATTTTTGAGTTATAATGAACTAAAAACACCCACAGGATTTGTGTTTCTGCTTTTAGACAGGCCATCCTTTCCTGCCAGTTACTAGCAGGTTCCCTACAAAGATTCTTCTATTTATTTTTTTTTTTTCCCCAGTGAAACAATGACAGTACAATCCAAACCAGTTAAGAATGCTTAGTTTACTAGTTCTAGGTCACACTTCTTTCAGAAAGGAATCCTCACCATGCTCCCAACATTTACCTGCAACACCTTCAGGTCCCTATGTCTACTCTCCCCTAGTTCCTAATCTATTAAGGAGAAAGCTAGCTTTTATATGCTTGTTTTGTCTTTTGCTGCTTTTTGCTTTATGCTAAATGAAGAGGGATGAGGGGAATAGCAAGGAAAGAAGAGAAAGAGGCAACCTAACAGTTACTTTCTTCTGCTTCACCAAGGAATTGCAGTACTGACCACCGCCTCGTGCATACTACCTGTACAAACTGTATGTAATCCACACACTGGTTGCGGTCTGTTAACCTGCACCTATTTCAGAGGCACAGAATCAAGATTCACAGCTTCTTTCCCACTAGAGACACCATGCTATTACCTCTGAGTTCCTGGCAGGCTACAGGAATGGTCTGCAAAAATGCTTGTAACCTGAATGTCATGCAGCCTTGGCCTGAACATTAAGTGGGAAATTCTTCACTTTAAAGGCCCTGAGAACATCTCAATCTATTTTAAAATCTGATAGTCCTTTAAAAGAAGGTGGTCTGCAAAACATTTACAGCGTTTTACGCCCACAACCTCCCACTCAACTGGCAGAGACAAATCAATGCCTTTCTAGAGGCACACTGAAGAACCAGCTCCCATCAGAACACAGGTTTATACTTCTCAATCTTAAAAACAAGGCTGCAAGCTTCTACTTGACCTTTTACTGATACCAAAATTCCCTTCATCTGAATGAAGTCTGGAAACAAGTCACATTTATTCAGAATCAAGGTATTAGCTTGCCTTTCCAAAAGCCAAATCCTCAGCCTGGGGATGGAAGCCAATTTCATATTAATAAGGTCCAGAACAGGTTGCTACCAAAAGAGGGTGTGCTGCTTTTCTCTTCATGGTCTCAGTTGTCTTTCACCTGCTTGTTCAGTAGTGATGAAACCCCAGAGCAGGTGGACTGACTTGTTGATCTGGCAAAAATCTGTTCTAGGGAAAATATTTGGTGGGTGTGTGGGAAGAGTAGTCTCCCATAACTTAAGAAGATCATCCTTCCTGCAGTGAGTCCATTAACTTGAAACTGTATTTGAAGGCACTCAGTAGTAACTTGTACATAGTATAATCCATGCAGCAGCTAAAAAGAGTGACAGCTTGACTCCAGTCCATTTGCTCCTGATCCTTAACCTCAATTTGCATTATTGTGATAAAGACCTGGTTCACCTCAGATTTGTTTTTAAATGGTTCCTTTTTCAGCCACACTAGTGCTCTGATACTCAGGTTTATCATATGAAGGTACAAATATTATCACAGGCATAAAAGAGGTGAAAACAAGGAGGCCTGCATATTTTAGCAACTATGAGTTTCCCTTACATTGAACTGCCCACGTACCCATAGCCTGACAGACAACAAATTCCTATCTTTGGAACCAAATTTGCTTTCTGTTACTTGATTTCCCCCCTCCTCCCAAACAAAAACAAGCTCGAAAAACAACTTGACTACTGGAGTACCAGTAGATAAGCTTATTGGTGTTGTGCAATGACCTGCATACTTTCTCCCTTGCGGTAAGTTCAAGTTTCAGAAATTAACTGCCTGCAAAAGGTCAAGCCAAGTGTTGGGATTTCAGTCCAATAAGAAAGATCTGAAGTGTTATGGTCCTACTCATAAAGCTAGTAGTAAGGTCTGCAGGTAGTACGATTCCAGGCTCTGTTAATCAAAAGAAAATCCATTCCTTCATTTGAAAAAGCAGGTTGTTTGCAGCATTAGTTAGTAATTTAAAAAAACCTCCAGAATAACAGAACCCAGAAGGAAGCTCCATATTCACAATCACACATGGACCACAGCAGAAGGAACTAATGGCATGAATGCCATGTCTGAACAACTTTTTTTGAAACTAAAGAGCAAACACATGAACCCACCTTCTAATTCTACTCTGAACTATGATCTTCAGAGCAAGCACCTAAAGTAATTTTGTACACTACTGGAAGAGGTCACTATGACTACATTGACATATTCAGGATGTCAGACTTTTTCTGAACAATAAGTGAATACATTGAAACTCTTCAGTAAAAATTCACATACCCACAATCTTGTTTGTCAACATACTTTATAACTGTTCAGCAATAAAACTAGTTGTAGAGGTAAAAAATGGTACTAGTGAAACTTAACATTTAGCATCTTAATGTCATTACAAAGACAAAAATCAAACCTTTTATTTAAAAGCAAGAAAAACTATTCAATTTGAAGCAAAGACCATCTCCACCCACACAAAACAGGTGTTATTCTACTTTTATTATAATCAGAAATGCAAAATTTTCAAATTGTAAGCATTTTTATTAAAGCTATTTAATTAAGTCCAACAGTTTCACAAGATTTGGGCCTCTGCACAAGTGATATGCATGCAAGCTGGATGTAAAAAGACAACCATTTAGTACAGGAATAGAGAACTCCTTTGTTTGTCTCAATGTACTAGTTTAAAGCAAGCAGTGATTTATGTAACAGAAAACCCAGGTTCTAGAGAAGAGGATGAAATACAGCAGAGATATGCAACCCCCACTCTACACATTAATACAGTACCTGGGCGCTGAATCTGTGAACATCATCAGAGGCACTGACTAGATCAATGGAAGACATGGAGGAAGAGCGACTATAGGGCTACCAGAGACAGACAAAGAAAAAACCAAGTAATCAGAACAAAGGCACAAAAGAGCATTCATTACCAACTTGCAAGCACAAGATAATGAAGAAAAGGAAAACAAAAGCACCATAAGCAGCAAGCACAGCAGCGAATGCACCTATTATGTATTATGCTCCCAGTGTAGCCCTGAGAGGAGCATAGTGTTTCCAGTAACACTAAAAAAAAGTCAACTGATACTGAAACAAGTGACTAGATTTAAAAATTTTTTTTATAAAATCAATTAACTTAATTTTGGTGAAGGTATCTTAAAAACACACTGAGGTTAGCAAGTTGGGATTTTTCCTTTACTACCTAACTGACAAGCTTGAGACAGGTCAAGGGTATTCTAAATAGATACTCAAATCAGTATTTTTTGAGCCAAGAAGGAAATAGTCCTTCTCCAATTCTGGCTACTTCATTTGAAAATGAGTAAACCATTGAAAGTTACTAGAAACACCTAAAAAAAAATCTCACCTATCCATACAAAATATTATATAGGAATATCATAGGTCAGCCTATTACTCAGAGGAGATGATGAGAAATATCTTACCTTTTGGACAAACCGATGAGTCCCCACAGCAGAGTATGCATCTCCAGAAGGTACAGAAGTTGGCCAGTGTAATCTAACCTTTTCACTTTGGGACTGCAACAAAATATGTTTAATAATTAGTAGTCAGCAGCTACTGGGTGGAATAGAGTGAGTCATCCTCAATCTACATAGTGGTGACAACAACTAACACTGTCCATGACAGGCAGGAAGCTGTCATCCTCCTGGAACGCTCAGTAAGCAAAGACTGAATTTGTCCATACTTCAATATGTATTTCAGAGTTAAGGAAAACAGATCGGCAGCATTAAGGATTGTCCTGGTTTTGGCTAGGATAGAGTTAATTTTCTTCTTAGCAGCTGGTACAGTGTGTTTTGGATTTAGTGTGAGAATTACGCTGACAACAGAGTGATGTTTTAGTTGTTGATAAGTAGCACTTATCGTAAGTTAAGGATTTTTCAGTTTTCCATGCTCTGCCAACAAGCAGGTGTACAAGAAGCTTGGAGGCTGCATGGCCAGGACAGCTGACTCAAACTAGCCAAAGGGATATTCCATACCATGTGACATCATGCTCAATATATGATCTGGGGGAAGTTGGCCAGGAGGGGGAGATCGCTGCTTGGGCATCAGTCAAGCGGGTGGTGAGCAACTGAATTGTGCATCGCTTGTCTTTTCTTGGGTTTTATTTATATTTTTGTCTTGTAATAACAACAACAACAATAATTTATTGTTAGTATTTTAGTTATTTTATTTTATTTAGTTATTTAGTATTTTAGTTTAGTTTAGTTATTAAACTGTTTTTATCTCAACCCACATGTTTGGGAGGGGGGAGGAGCAAGCAAGCAGCTGTGTGGTGCTTAGTTGCTGGCTGAGGTTAAACCATGACAAGGATCCATGTAGTAGTACAACAGTCACTCAGAACTTTTACTCTCCACTAAGAGACCCCAACATAGGTAAACTCTGTTGGGTACTATATGTCCACTAGAAAGTCTTCTAATTCTTAACGTAATCATTGTATTCACTATATTCATAAGCCTAAACACTTAAGACAAAGGATGCACCACTTTGTTATTCCCTCTTATTTTATACACTGCTATACGTTCTCATATTCTATAAATTTCCTCTCACTCATCTTGTCCCTTTTTGATCCTTGTCACTGAAGTGTATTCAAGAAATGAGTTAGAGAAATAGCCAGAGGCTACAGAAATTTTAAATAAAAACAAACACCAACAGAACTACATCTTTCCTATTTCACATACTGGTAGAGTCAAAAGAAAATTCAGAGCAATAATTAGGTTTTGAGAAATAGCTGCAGTGTTTGATATTCCTATTTGCACAGGACATCACCTATAATACAAAGGTAAGTTTTATACAGGACACTTATTTAGGAATTAGAAACTGAAGACATTCAATCAGTTTAACACTTATACTATCCTCTTCTGTATAAGCTGTGAAGTCAGTTTCTCAAATTTAGCGTTAAGCACCCAACATTTAACTTTAAAAATATTACGTGAATTCCTCTCAGTGTCAGAATAAAATATCTAGAGCTTCAGGAGATGCCCCCCAGGACTGAGTTTAAGTCACAGAAGTCTCCCATGAAGTGCCCATCATTAAGACATTTTTCAAGTATCAATACCTGTTCTTCCATTTTATCCTGTCTATCAAGAGCAGCTTCAACAGCATCAAAGAATTCTTCTTCATTAATCAGACTATTGGGACCTTCCTAGAGCATAAGAAACAAAACTAGTTCAAAATTTTGGAGACATGAGAGTTCCACTTCAGTTTAATATTAGAAATATGTATTTATATGTTATGCATATAACTGATGGAAGCAAATGTCTTCTATAGAACTCAAATTTTTTCACCAATATTCTTAGATTACAATTCCTCTGAAAACCCTACCTGTTAAAGGAAATCACTCCCTCTACTACAATTTAGGGATATTTGTATAAAGAAAAAAACCAGGAAACTGAGTAACAGTGTCAATACACTGACATCAGATGTAGGTTTTAATTAACATACACCTTAAAAGTGTTTACAGTGTGTCAGTAAAGCACACTGACATAATTGTGTAGTTAGACTCCTTCCAAGTATTCCAGTGCCTTAGGGCAGATTTCAGATATGTGCTCAAAACTTAACAAGAGAAGACAAAATTATGGGAATCTCTACTGAAAATTCTTGGAAAGAACAGTTTAACACTGTTATAACAGCAGGTAGAGTTGAGTCAACTATTAAAACTTGAGTCTAAGTAAAATGGTAATTTCAGAAATTAGATTTACTGTTTTTACTGTATTGTAAAACAAGCTGGTCCAGCCAATTTCAAAAAACTACAACAGGGATAGCTGGGAGAAGCAGCTGGGTTTATAACCAGGTAGACAAAGTCCAACTTCCTATCCATCTTTTTATTTTGCAGTGTATACCTCAGTCACAATGAAGAACCTAAGCTCAAGTATCTTTTTAATATTTCAACGTATTAGTACTGTTTCTCAGACTATGACTTGTAAGTAGGAATATGTTTGTTTAATGTACATGAAAGGGTCAAGTTCTTTAAAAATTATGCAAACTGCATTATAGGCGCATTAGCTTACATTATTCTTCACAAGGTGGTTTAAGCATCTTAGACCTTGACTAAATACCTCACTGAGAAGGAAGCTGCTGAAATATGCAACTTAACAGATGAAAGGAACCTAAAATCACTGTATTTGTCAACATGAAATTTCAAGTGGCAGTGACAAGTTAAAAATCAATTCAAGTTAAATTTCAGATTCTAGGACTGCCTCTGCAGTGAGGGTTTTCATATTTGCTTTACATATCTACACAGCTAAACCATTAGAACAGGAAAGTAGAAAACCATTGCATAAAAGCAATTTCAAATGTGCAAGAAAAATAATCAAAAACCAGCAGAAATATCTGTAAGCAAAATGCTTTAGACAAAAGCAGAACATGGAAGCCTGAGGTGAAGACAGACTTCCATTCTCAAAACATTAAGGACTGACATTCTTCATACAGTTTCATTTTCCAAGGTAGAATAAAAGGAGCATGACCACACTTGCAGAAGCCAAAGACCTTGATTTACACACACCCCTTTCCCCATTTTGAGGAACAAACTAATCTTTTAAGGTCATAGCATTTTTAAAAATTTCAGAAGCAGAATTTGTACCTCATAGTCCGGCCCTCCAAAGTGGGACTTTTTCTTCAGTTCTGTCACAGCATTTTTGTATGCTTCTTCAATTCTTCTCCTTTTCTCTATCTCCTGTAAAATTACATGATCATTTGATGCAGTAAGAATGAATTGATATAACAGTCAACATGCCAATAAATGGAATGACCAGTGTAGCTTTTTCCAAGTAACAACTGCAAAGCTGCTGATTTTCTGAATTTATTTGCATGTATGCACTATATGTGACGATATACATGCATGTATAATACAAAGCTTGGGGAGCTAGCTACCTTGAGGATACCTTCTTTCAGTCATGTGGAAGAAGGTAGATCAGCGAGCAAAAACTGTTATCTAGTTTAAGCATAGCTACTCATGGTTCACTGAGGGTCAGACTTTGTATCTGACTGACAGCTTATATAAACCTCCGTGACACAGATGCTTGGGCAGTGATAACAAAGGGTGAAAAGTAAGGTTGGTAAAAAGCTAACTTGTTGAATGTGGTGAGATACTAATAAGTCACAGCATGTAAGTTTGTAACTATAATTAGCTGGCATAGGATCATCATGACTCATTGTAAACTCCATGCAGAGACTAACAACTCAACATCGTTCTCCCATAATAAGGTGTGTGACTGTACTAGAGCCACTGATGTCTGTATCATTGTATTTTGACTAGAAGAGTAGTAATGCCAGAATCAGATTAAGTCTAATACTTCCTCTGCAAATTCTATGTACTGCCAGGTATTCCCAGTGAAAAAGCTACAAATACTTCTAAAATTCTTGCAGAATTCAGCTTTAATACACAAGATGTTTCTCTGTCCCCTTTCAGAATCACTTCAGGTGGAAGAAAGTCTTACAGGTGACAACAGGACACCACACACTACTTCTTGCAGATATGAGTACAATTATTCAGCGACCCACTTTGAACTTTACAGATTCAGTGGAAAATCCTTAAGCAATACTGAAAGGCTGAGTTTATCAACGGGGAATTTGGTGGTAACATTCAGTCTGGAACACATTTTCCAGTTTCTAAAGAAAAGTTTGAAAAGTAAAGCAACAGTTTTGATGTAAAACAAAGTAGTACAGTTTTCCACAGGAAAATTCTTCGGAAAAAAAGCAGCACTTAAATGAAGAGACTATTGTCTTCATCTGTGAACACAGGCTTTTCCCTCCTGAAACAATCGCAAAGAGGCAATAGCTGCTAACACTTTTGTTTCACAAAATTTTGCAAGTTTATCTTTTTTGAAAGTAATCGGAGAGTCCTGAAGATGCATAAAGCATGACTTGAGTATAAGTCATTGAGAGAAAAAACAGAAGTTTTACCAGAACACTTGGAATGAAAACAAAACAAAACCGCAAAACAACTCCTCCCACTCGCCCCAAATCACCACACTTTCTGTACTTCAATCTGCAAATTAGTGGTAATTCACATGTGTCAAAAGACAGCTCTCCAAATCTGCCAGCTTCTCTTGGCAACAACATTAAATAAGGCAGAAATTGGGAAACTGTTTGACGGCACAGCAGAAAAATTACTGGTGTATTAAAACTCTGTAAAATTCAATGAGACATTTAAGTTACAATTGTCAAAGGTGAGCAAAATAAGCTACCTAAACATGTTAATCCTAAGGTAAATTTTAATGTTCAGAAGATAAGTTTGCTCATTAACAACAATTAGTAAGACCAAAGGAAACAAGAAGAGAAAAATGTTGCTGTAGTCAAGACAACATAAAAAGCATCATCACAAGGATTTTGTTGCAAATAAAACAATGGACCAAATACTAGAGATTAAAACCTTTCCTTGTTTATCCATTTTAAGAAAAGTCTATTTTAAAATACATTCAAGAGGCTTATACTGAAAAATATACTCCACTGGAAAAATAAAAAGTCAAGCTCAAGATCTTAACAGCTAAGGAGAAAAGGTTGAAAGCAAAGCTGTAACTACAATTACCTTTAGATAATACATGTTTTTGTATCAATTTTATTCTGGCCATCTGCCTGTTTTGGTAGCAGAAAGAAAACTAAATATAGAATTCTAAAATTACAATCATTAAGTGCATTATATCAGTCTCCTTAAAAATTAAAACATGTTTTTATAATAATTTCTTGTTTTCAAAGGTTTAGAAATTGTTTCCAACCTTCAGAATGTTAACTTAAGCCCCTTTATTTTATTAAAAAAGGGGGGATTATAAAGATACTCACTATATAACACCGTACTCATCTCTAGTCAAACTGTAGTTACCTCCAGATTCAAACTCTACTGAAATTGAGCTTTTTTAATACGAGAAATTTTTTAGGACAGCTATAATTTTGAAACATATTTGCTTCAAGTTCAGCAGACAAATCTATCCTGCATCTTTAGGTTAAGCTAGCCCTCTACAAGATCAAGGTTGTATAATTTTGTGAGGTAGAGGGACTTTTACTAATCACCTTTGTGTGTTGCTGTTAAGTTAAAGTAGTTCTGAAGCTAGTGGAGTGAGGAGGCTGGATAGGAAAGGAGCATGAGCTGTATTACAGTGGTACTTATACTACTTGTAAAACACTCATTGATTTTAGCTACTGACAGAGATCTTATTCTTCCTGTGACAAACCTGCAACAATACAGAGCCAGCGGCATAAATCTGCTGACACACAAAGGACAAACTTGATGCTGCCCCTTTCAACTCTGCTAGATGGTTTTTTACAGGCACTGGATAGACTTAAAAAAGCTCTAAACCCCTCCCAGCTAGAACACAAAGAGCTGCCCAATTTCATGTAATTTTCCCCTCCAATCTCTCTTAGAGAAGGTATTCTGAACTTTATCATCTCACAGTATTTACTTCCTTTTCAGAGCAGTTGACACATCTAAGAAAGCCAAAAGTACAAAGATCAACACCATTCTCCTCCCACATATATTTATCAGATGACAGAGCAATGTTTTTTTCTCAGGCCCATAGTTATATAGAAGATACTCTTAATAAAGCCATGTTTAACCACTAAAACAAGATAAAAGAAAAACAAAAGCTCAAAAAACTACAGCTGAAGTGGAGTAGTGTTAGCAGAGGTCTGAACACAGTCAACTGCTGTCTTTAAGGGTGTAGGTGTCAGGGTGTTGGTCATGGAGGACTGACTGCAGGGGTAGCCTTTGTGGGAGGAGGCCAGGGGCTGCCCCATGTTAAACACAGGTGGCTCTAGCCAGCTCCAAAACAGACCCCACTGCAGGACAGAGCTGAGCCCATCCACCATGTGTGTGGCACTTCTCTGAGAATGTATTTAAGAGCAAAAAACATCCCAGGGAAAGAGGAAAGGGAAATAAGAAGTGAGAAACAACAGTGGAGATGCCAAAGCCAGAAGAGGAGGAGCAGCAGCTCCAGGGCAGAGAACAAATCCACACTGCAACCCATGGAGGACCACATGCCAGAGCAGAGGACCATTTCCTGAAGGAACTGTGTCCCCTGGAGGACCCACACTGGAGCAGATTTTTCCCAGAGGACTGCCACCCATGGAGAAGACCTGTGCTGGAACAGGGAAAAAGTGTGAGGAGGAAGGAGTGGTAGAGATTGAGTGTTTTGGACTCACTGCAACCCCCCCATTCCTCACCCCACACTGCTTGGGCCTCGCAAGCAGTGGGTAGAGGGGCCTACAGTGAGGGAGTGAAGTTGAGCTTGGGCTATGGGGAGGAAAGCTGTTTTAGTGTTTGGGTTTTTGTTTCCCATTAACTTGGTCTATTTTAGATCAGCAACAAATTGATTTTCCCCAAGTCAAGAACATTCTGCCATGACAAGAACCCATAAGCAATCTCCCTGTCTCTTGACCCATGAGCTTTCTCATCCTATTTTTTCCCCTAATCCTGCTGGATGGGTGGTTAGCAGCTGGGTGGGCATTTGGCTATTAGCCAAGGCTAGTCCACCACAATTCTGCATTATTTAATTCAATGAAAATATCCTCTTCCAAAAGGCTAGGAGTTAGAGGAATACATATAAAAAGTAATTATTTTATATTAAAATTAAAGTGTTTTGTGTATTAGAATTAAAGTACATTGAGAGTGCTGTAAACCCCAGAAAATTTCATTGACAAATGTGACTTTAACAAAGTTGCAAGTCTACCAAAGCAGAGAAACTTAAAACCTCCAAAGTTTTAGAAGCTTTTGCTATTTTAATTTCTGGAAAAACAAGTCCAAATAAGCTTGTGACCTTCCTTTAAAATGCATTTACTCATGCTGTATGAGGTATCAGTCACATGAGACCCGAAGTGAAATTTAGGTTTGAACTTGTTAACCACTTGCAGCTGAAAACAAGTGCTTTAAAAATAGTCCAAAGAAGAAGAGAAGAATGACAAATAACTAATCTAAATGAATTGACATTCTGTATTAACATATTGTTCTGTAGTAACATATACTAACCTAGGGACAAGAAAAATTCACTTTGTCCATGCTCTAAGCCAAGTCTGATCAACAAGAGTGAACTGTGTTTGCTCAGCCTGGAGAAGAGAAGGCTTTTCTGGGGGGACCTCGTAGTAGCCTTCCAATACCTCCAAGAAAGTAATAAAGAAACTGATACAGACTCTTCAGAGCAGTCTACAGTTGAAGCATGAAAAATAATAGGCAGATACTAGAATAAGAGTTACTCCAACTGGATATAAGGAAAAACTTTTCCACTATAGCAACAGTTGCACAGCACAACAGGCTGCCCAGAAAAGATGTGCAGTCTCTGGCCTTGGAGGCCTGAAACCAGACTTGATAAAGTCCTGAGCAATCTTGTCTGATCTCAAACTGTCCTTCCTTTAAGCAGAAGGTTTGAAAGAGAGAGACCTCTTGAGGTCTCTAGTCCAACCTGAATTACCTTATGATCCTATGAACAAGCTTCAAATCTTGGATCTACAGTAAGTCCTTTAACTACTTTGATGAAGCAGTAACAAATTAAATGTTGACAGAAGTCGCAATACAGTTAGACAGGGCCAGGCCTTTGACATATGGACAAAAATGACCAGGAGACAGGGGCAAGGATTCAAACACAGATGTATTTTGTCTGAATTCATTCATTCTTTGAATCGTACTCCATATGTTTTAGTGGTATAAGTTTTGATGTGTGATATGCACCACAGGGAAACACATTAAATGAAAAACAAGAGACGACAGCTAAATGACTGCACAGGACACCAGTCAGTGATGGCAGGATTCTAGAAATCAAAGCCTGAAGTACAACCTAGCCATGCCTCCAGCACATCTCATGAGAAAAGACACTGCTCCTTTCAAGTTGCTATAGTGGTTGAGTAGGCTTAGCATGAACTATCACTGCCATTAGAATAACAGATATTCTAATACCACATGCCTAAAAAATTTAACCGATTACTATAAAATATGATTTAATCTCTTCAATCTCCTAAAGGAAAGTGAAATAATGGTATCTTAAAGAGACATTTGAAGTTAGAACTGGTTGTTCTCCTCAGTATTGTCACCATCTCTTTACCACAATTAAAACATTTCAGAGATTTGCACATCATTTTGCAAGCATGGATAATTAGGTCTCTTTCAGAAGGCTGCAAGCAATATACTTGCTGCTCTGGAATACTATCAGGTTCTCTATAAATATAAAAAATATAGGACTACTATCTGAACAAGGGCTGGGAAGAGAAAGACTGATGAATAATGTTACTGTATCACCAATCAGGATGAGGCTTTAATGTTTTATAGGAGTAATACTGAAAGAATCTAAAATTAATAAATGCTGTACATAAAAATAAAAGCAATTCCTGGAATAAAAAAAGTTAACAGCTCATTTGAAATTTCAATTTCATGCTAAAGAAACTTTTTTTTCCCCAAAAGTAAAGGAAAATGATCTTACCTTATCTAGCCTTTTTTGCCAGCTTTCTTCACGTTTTACCATGAGTTCAATACAATGAGAGAGTGTAGCAAGGATTCCAGCAGTGGTTGCCTTGAAAGTTATAGCTTCTCCTTTAAAGTCTATGCCATTAATTCCTTTGGGTGTCACATGAGGAAACACTAAAAACAAACATGAATCATTCACTGATAGCTGCCTTTCACTCAAACAAGCATTTTACATGTATGCTTTATATTACAACTGTTTGAAGAAAACAGACAGGCTAGAAACTTAATTTAAAAATAAAAATCAAAAGTGCTAATAATTTTCAGCTATCCACAGGATAAGGAAAGAGATTCAAAAGGAGAAACACATCCCTTCAGCTTCATCTTGCTATACTGCATTTCAAGTCTGCTTGTAATGGTGTATTACTCTGCAAATCATGTGGGTGGAGGGAGTGGTAATACTTTGTAACAATAGCAGTTTGACAGCTTGAAGTGTGGCCTAATTAACACAGAGCAACCTTAAAACATATCTGATACAGCATTAAGAAAGGAACAATTTCAAAACGCAATCAAACCCAAAATGTAACATTCAAGGTTACTTTAGGCAGGTAATTATAGATTTAAAAACCTCAAAGTAAGAAGGTATGATATAAGATAAAAGTATCACATGTGTTGAATTATCAAGAACTGTGGGTTTTGCAGTTCCAACAACTACTTCATGCTGTCAACCAAGCCATCTGTTGCTAAGGCTATTTAAACAAGTCATTTAAAATGTGTGACAAAAAAAGTACCTATTATATGTGAAACTCGTATGTAGGTTGACATAATAACAAATCAAACACTACACATTAATGTCAGAAAATATTAGAAAGCAGAAGTAACACTCATGTTGAAGCTGACAGAGCCCATCAAGTTAAAGTAACTCCTGCTATGCCATGGGGCAAGCTAATGACTTATCACCTAGCTGGATATCGCTTCTTCCCCCCAATCTGTCAGTTTGTCAACATGCCACTGTTATGGTTTAAAAAGTACAAATAAATATTTGTGTAAGTTTAACCAGTATCTGTCTGCCAGGGCAAAGCAGAGCTTTCAAGCAGTTCAGTTCTTGTAGGGAAGAGAAATGCAGTTGCTGTTCTCTAATGGTAGAGCACAGTATCTACACTTCTGGAACAGAAAGCAGTCATCACATGATCTCAAGCAATGGATTAAGTCTCTAGAGTTTTTATACACCCTCCTCTCAGAAGGAATCAAACTATTTTTCAAAGAGATGATCACAGGCTACACACTAATTCAAATATCCCAATAAGCATACATACTACGGTAGAATACAGCTTATTTTTTGTTTCATGTTAATCAAGAATACTCCCTAAAAGGTAAAGATGATGGGGGCTGGACAAAAAGAAAAGAGAAAGAAAAATCTGTTTCAGAAACAATAATGAGCATAGCAACTCTCCCTCCTCCTAACAGCTGCAGAGGGAACACGGAGGAGGCTGAGACTGAAAGTGGTATAAGCTGGCAAGGAGGCGATGCAGTGGATTCACTGAGAATAATGAAAATTACACAAGAGCTTCACCCATACTACTTCATAACTGAAAAACACAGTTTATACTAATAATCTGTGTTCATGTGCAGGTTTACCAGCACAGCTATTACACATACAGATGTGATTTTTCTCTCTTAATTATGCAACATGCTAGACATGCTGAAGAAACTATCATTGGCTACAACACTATAAAATAATTTCAGAAATCTCTATGTTAGATTGTAAGGGAGATACATCAAGGCAGCCTCATTTCCTGGAAAAAAAGCCAGCTTTTATTCCTGGATATCTTTGGGTCTCAGCTACAGCTCATTAATACTTCCATACAGTTTCAGTCATCATATATTCTAAGTCATTCTTTAATGACTAGTCTCAAAGTAGCAGTGATACATGCAGAGCTTGCAGTTTTAAAGTAAGCGTCCATAGTTCATTTTAGCCATTATACTTCCAGGCAAACCCAAACTTGTTGCAAAAAGATGCAACACCTGTTTCTTTGCAGAGATGGTCACTCAAGAGATTCCTTACAACAGATAGGAGTATTCTGATTCATTCCTAATCATAGGAGACATTTGCCGTCCTGGAACATGTCAGAAGATGGTATCAAGCCTCGTCTCAGTAACAGTTGAGCTTCAGCACATTAGAAGTATTTATTTGGAGAGCCTGTTCTTTTTTTTATGCCTTTTTTCATGTCAGCTACAGACTAAGCATTTCAAAATGAAATCTGGCATCAGGAGATCTGTATGGTTCAAAGTAAAGGCTAATAGGAAATTGTTCTTAACCACTGCAACTGCTCTTCTAGCTGGGTGATCAAACTGCATGCAGCCAACTGAAAAAAGCAGCAGGATGTTTTTTCTCCTACTTTAACTTCAATTTCAACATCTTCCAAGTGTTTTCTTTTTAATTATCCTGCCTTTTAAGCATTTTGCTTTATTTCTGATTTGTTTTATCTTGCCTTTCATATAAAGGATTCTTCATATCATGCTTTAGCTTTCAATAGCTCTTTAGCCTTTCTCTCCTACACATCTGTGTCTGTTAGGATAGGTCAAGTTTTCCCTTCTTGTTCCTAAGATTGTTTGTAACACTTTCTCAGATGTCCCAAACATCATGTGTTTGATCAATCGAGTTCCTAGTGAAACAGAAAATTATTTTAATACTACTGCTGTTGATCTTCTGTGAATAGCAGTAGGATCAATATGATTGGTTTTCCTCTAAGAACAACCCCATTATTCAGCAATGTGTTGGTGAATATCCTCTATTCAAAGCAAAAAATTCCAGCATAAATCCCACTGTGTTTTACATCAAATTTCTCTCCTTCAGCCTCTGTACATTTCCATCTTTATAGTTCCACTACAAAACCACCTTCCATCTTCAAAGAGGTTCCTTAAGCAGGTTTCCCCTGCTCTTCCTACTCTTACATAATTTAAATCCAAATACACTCATTTTCCTGAGCCGATGGATGGGAACACTCCCTTATCAAGATTCTACATTCTTAGAATGTAAGATCCTAATGGGTAAATATGCATCAGCCAGACTCCCTGTTGGTGTTTTATACAAATGATCATTGTTTCAGTTAGCAGATTTTTTTAATTGGAAGTGAGCAAAAAATTTAAATACCTTAATAGTACTCTTCCTAGCTCTTCACTCAAAGATCCTAGAGAACACAGAAAAGAAAAAGGCTCCCTATCCAAAACATCTTCATAATAAACAAATCTCTACAGTCACATTAACTTTCTCCTCCCACCCAGGGAAGGTGCAGAAGAGAACAAATTTCAAAAGACAAGGTGAATACGGTCCTTTCAGTCAGTCTTAAATCTAACGATCTGAGCATTAGATTGGTGTGCTAGTGGTTTGAACAGTAGGCTTAAACACTCCTTCTTACCAGAGTAGGCTAAATAAGAGGTTGAACCCATGCTTCTCACTTCCTGGAGCACTGACTGCAGAACAGCTCCGGAATAAATGGACAACCACTTCTGAGCTACAGTTAAAAAGATTGTTCCAGCCCTTCCAGGACTGCACAGAGATTTCAAGAAGTGAACCTGAAGTTTGAGAAACCAAAGAATCTTAACAGCTGCTCTGAGGCTAAGCTTTAGAAAAGGGTGAATTGAAGACATATCTTTCATTATCAGTTAGTCTGAGTAGTTTTCTGCCCAATACATGGGCATGTCTGTCTCAACCTAAGACATCTACTTCCCCCACTGCATCACTTATGACTTATGATTCCACTTTAGAGCAGAGACTCTAATTTTTAATTTCTAATCAAGCTTTGCAGCACTCAGCTATTGAATATTTAATGAATTTAGCCCTTAGAAATCAAACTGAGGCACATAAAAACTAAAATGGAGATGAACCTTTCCATAGAAATCATTGACAGAAAGTAGATTTAATGGAGTCAAGAATCATAACAACTGGAATTAGAAGTGCTGCAAAAATCAAGGGGTTGCAGAAATTATTTTCTATAGTGAACTATAGTAATTGAGTTTATATACAGGTACCCATAATACACAGCAATTTCTTAGCATGTAAGTTCCCAAAGACTTGATACAGAACTTTTTACAAGATGAATATCGGTATCAAATTGCTGTTAAACAGGTGACAAAAAAAAAAAGAAGTCACTTACTTTGCATTTAAATATTCAAAGATGACCAGATGTACTAAAAATACAGACCTTCCTAATGACATTCCCCGTATCATATGTGTATATATAGTAGATACAACAGAAAAATGCAGATATGAATAAATGTTCTAAAGGTAAATTAAGCTGAAACTCCTACATAAGCCTACAAAAATTAAGTTTGACAAAGACACCTCTTGCAAAATGAATCATACAGTAAAATTAAATTCTCACTTCACTTTTTTTAAAGAAGGCCTTTTCAGTTTTCTGGTATTTGATCTGACTTAACAATCCTCAAAAAATGTACACAATAGGGTTAGTGGAACTGTGCACCAGCTTACAGGGAGCGTTGCAAACTTGCTCATCTTTGCTGATAACAGGCAAGAAAGATTTATTCAAAACTTCAGAGTGATATGCTACTTAACCTCTGAAATCAGCATTAGGATTAATCCTCTAGTAGAGAAAACACTTTATATAATTGAAAAAAAATCTACTCATTTGATGAATTCTGGAAGTATCCTGAAAGCTCCTTCTATTTCCTTTTCTCTTTCCTCGTAACAGTTTTGGTTATACTCTATAAAGAGCACCTAAATACAGCCAGGAAAGATGTAACATGGGGACAACAGCCATTTAAAAAGAAAACGGAAGAAACAGAAAATACTTATTTTGCCCATATGTTTTCCAGGTTCTTGATGAAAGTGTTCACATTTTTAAAAACACTTTTGATGAGTACTTTGGGAAATTCCATCAGATTTGAAACTGGAAGTAGTGCAACTTCAAAGTTTTGTGAATCAAAGTCTAAGAAATACCTTAGGACTAACTGAATTGTCTACATCTAGGGAATGTAAACACTAAAATATTTCAGTCAGGAAACAAGAGAAAGTCTAAGAAGAACGCAAATATATTTTAAATGCATACACAACTTCTGCCAGGCCAGAAGTATGAGATTTCTAGAACAGCAAGACTTGCATGAGTTCTTCACATTTACTGCATGGATGCAGTGAGTGCAATAACTAGAGCATTTAAGGCAAGAATAAAAATCAGAATTCTGTTCATCATAACAACGGAAAATAACAGCAAAAAAGTGCTAAAATAATCATGAGTGAGAATCAGTAACAGCGTTGACTTAACTATTACATAGCCATAGAACTTGGAAAATCCATACTGGGACATACCTAACTGGAAAAGCATTGTGCTCCACCACACTCCTGTTAAAGCAGGTAACACTTGCAAGAAAAAACTGCAATTACCTATTACAAATCTCAGTTCCCACTGTCTGAATGATGCAGCTGTTTCAACAGAATTTTGTAGTGAAAATGGCTTTGGACACAGAATAGGAAATTCCAGCTTGACAAGCTTGCATCAATACTTTTGTGAATTAAGAATACCTCAGAGAATCATGAAAAGCAGCAAATGAATGATAACATGAATAAGAACTTCCTGTCGCATACATTTAAATAACTGTTCTTGCCATCTTCTTAGAAAAGAGCATAAATATCCATCCTGTATCAGGCTTATCATACCATTCATATGAATTTTCAGTGAAAAAGTTGGGACACTTACATTTTTCCTTACTGCTGTTACTATTATGTAAAAAATCCCCATCAGAACGCATTGTAGGGAAATCATCTTCATCATCCTCCACCACTAAATTAGAGAAAGAGTGTGTTATGGGAGTGAGAAAGCTTTTCCAATTCTTTAGTGTGCAAGAAAGGATTAAGAGCATCTTCACGGCTAAGCAGCATTTAAGATTTTTTTCCTATAAAAACAGTCATGAACCACCCCCACCCCCCCCCCTTTTTTTTTTTGACCACCATCAACATTACTATCAGAAACCATCAGGAGACTAACATTTGCTCAGTGTTGAAGCTTAGCACTTGATTCTATGGTAAGAACAACATTATTCTGGTGTTACAACTGGATAAGCAGGGAGCCACAATTCAGCAACTATCTACCCTTCTACACTAGAAAGTCTGCATAGACATGGAATTGTACTTGTCTACTGTTTTCTTACTACCAAAAGTTTCAGGCTGCCAGAACAAACTCAGGGATGAATATAAATGCATGGATACAAGAACAAGCTGTGCTATGAGAAGAGCAATTCAGATACATGTAGGCATCCACACCCAAGTCTACTAGGGCCTCCAGTGTGCACTTAGTGCCAGCCAATACATCTTAGGAGCATTCATTACAGCAGCACCTTTGCCTTTTTAAAATAAAGTATTGCTGCTAATGAAACTAATATCCTATTGGCTTTTCAAAATAACAGGTAAGAGACATGGCGATAAACTAACTTGAATTTATCTTATGAGGCTAAACAATTATTGTTCTATAACATCGAATGCTTAAAAGAGCATTTCTTTGCTACAGTTGACAGCTACAGCTTAATATTAAAATTAAGCAGATTTTTATGGGAATCCAACTTCTGAAGTGAAAATAGTTAACACTATTTAGGCAGAAATATCTAAGATTGATCCCTATACTAAAGAGTAAATGTAAGATACATTATTTTATTTATATGGCATCAAGTGCTATAGTAACTATTTTGAGGGCTGCTACTGCATAAAAAGCTACATTCTACAGAGATAATAGTTTTCAGTTACAATTTTACCTTTATCCCTCTCCAGTTCATCTTTGGAAACCGCATCTGCACAGGCATCAAAGTACTTCTGTAAAGTATCGACTTGTCTACACAAGATGTCTCTAAAGGTTTCCATTTCTGCAAGTTTCTCACGTAAGCTATGACCCTTCTGAAAATACAAGAGAAAAAAGCCTGAAACACTTCTACAAACTCAGGAATAGTTCAATGCATAAATAAAAGGTGGACTTCTGCAGCTATGAAGAACAAATTCCAGTACACTAAGGACATTTTATGTATCAGCAGCTATGAAATACTGTTAGTGTTAGAAGGAGGTAAGACACTGTATACAAGTGTTCCTTACTCATTTTGTTCACTGGTCGCAATTTTTCGTCTTGACTGCATCTGCTACTTTAGAGCATTCAAAGGCTTATTAAAAATGCAATCTTGCATGCTACCAACTTTATGCCTATTTGCCTGAAAACAGTCAGCTCTAGTTTAAGATATTTGTTCCAATCCTTACTCCCTTTTCTTGTGTTGCTCCTCTTCCCAGAAGTACAGCCCATCCAAGTTCATATGTTAAATATTTATATGCATAAGACAAGGAAAGCCATCATCTGTCTATCAGTATTAATCAAATTTATTAAGTCACAGAATCAGCATTCATTCTTAGAGGCCCTGATATTCTGAGGAGTAAACTAGGAAAGGTTAATAATTGCTCCCGCAGGCTTGATTTTCTTGCCATTGGAAGATGACACCACAGTTTAAAAGGGACAACTGCACAGAGGCATGAAAGAGCTTCCTGTATGATCTATTTATCATATGACGAATTTCTAACACTTATAGTAAACCAAATATTTTGTATTTTTTCTACAGTTGTGTGAATAAGTTTTCACATAAGATATTTCTTTTCCAGTTGCATGTGTTATTTACACACTAATACTAAGAAAATATTATTCACTAACCTTGAACGAAGAGGTGGATGTCGCAGAGTATCCACTTGCTCCAGAAACAAGAGACACCATGGAGCCATGGCGTCGTAAACTTGACTCTGATCCATAGCCAGATTCAGTCTAAAAAACAAACCACACACAAAACTGGAGTGCTGAGGCTTTTAATAAAAAAGAAATCATGAAAGCAAGATTAATGTTGTTTCCTCTGAAACCAGTCCATTTGTTTTCTTGTCAGGAAGCAGCAGGGGCTTAACTCAAATTGTGCCTGCATATTTAAGATGCTGATGCAGCATCTGTAAAGTTACTATGAATCTATTTTTTGTTATCATAATGATCTGTAAAAAATTAGTTATCTATTAGTTATCTATTACCTATTATGTGCCCCCAAATGAACAAGGCAACATATATTTAAGGGTTCAAAGAAGGGACAATGTTCCATTATTTTGGTTTATGTAATCCCTGCGAAGCAATTTTCACACAGCATTCAAAAACCTGTAGTACTCCACAATTAATCAGGGGATTAACATGGTTCAGTCAAACCTTCCAATCATTCAAACAGTGCCATTTCATTTTTAAAAGCAACAAAACAGAGATCATAGAAAAGCAGACAATTACTGCTATCAAGTTTTTTTTTCCGCTCGTTCCAGGCTTCATTAGCAAAATTCTTAATACTAGACTGAAATTATTTTTTACAACGAACAAAAGTCTACATAAAACAAGGTGAGATAATAAAAGCAAGGGAGAGAAGACAACAATAATAACTAATTAAATACTGAAAAAAAGGAAGAAAAACACCTCTTGATTAAAATAACATTAAAAAGATCTAGAAGTTTTACAGTTTCCCTCACAAATCAAACATAAGCAGATACTGAGGAACTGGAAGAAAACTATTTCCCTGCAGCTTAATGTAAATGGCCTGTGCATGGCAAAGGAGAAGAAAAAACCCTGAAAGAGAATGTAAGACATAAACAGATGGTTCAGAGTAATATTAAAAATACTGTTAATAGATGAGTTTGATCAAGACAGTGACAACATTGTGAAGGACTTTTGACAGAAATAAGAAATTCTGCAGTAGCATAGAAATTCAGACGGGGCAGGGAGAAAGGGAGAACAGGAGACAAAAATGATATAGAACAAACAAGAAGCAATGATGAAGTTCTAGCTGTTGTACTTTTTATGGAAAAATTGGAAACTGCATAGCCTTTGGGAAGGCAGGAGAGTGCTCATAAATTAGGATGCAAATGAACTGAAAGAGCATAAAAAGCAAAGAGAAAGGACAAAGTTGTTTAAAGTGTTGGTTAAAACAGGAGGATTTGGACAATACTGCAATGTGTGGGACAAAGTATGTATGTTTGGGTTACAAAGGAGCAGTGGCAGAGAAATGCAGTTTTAGAGAAATGAAGGTATGACTGAAGAAAAATGTGAGTCCCGGAGTTGTCAACACAATTTCTGAATGAACATGACTGAATGAGATTATCCAGCGAAATCAAGCAAGAAGGAGCCAAGAGCCAGTTTCTGTTTGGCCCATTTAAAGAATGAGGTAGAAGACAAGAAAGCATTGAGGAAACAGAAGCGAAACAGGATGATTAGAAAGTAGAAGCGGAGTTGGAAAATTAATATGACCAAAAAATGCAGGTGTAGTTAGAAAAAAGGTACTCCAAAAGTCTTGGTGGAAGAAGGCTAAGTGATCATCAAATTAAAAAAAGGCACTTGTAAATTCAAAAGATTTAATAAGGGACATCTTAAGTTCATTGCTTCATTTACCAAAAAATTAGAAATACTACAACTTATCTGAACTAGCCCAAATAGAAGTTTATGTTTAATGACAGAACACAAGACAGTTTCCTTACGTCATACTATAAGGATGTATTAATAATTTAGTAATTTCAGCTATAAATCATGAATTTAACCCTACTTTATACTAAGCAAGAGTCCTAGAAAAACAGCTACATAAGTGTAGCAACCAAAGTGCTAAAAGCTCCATTTTTTAAGAACTAGTCCTACTATGTGTTTTAAAGCTTGACTTTAAAACATCTATTGGAATAGGCTTTTTGTTAAAAACATTCACATTGGTTACATGGGGCTTCTTTAGAATCTCAGTTCAAGTGTCAAGCAGTATACCTGGCTTTGGTAATATATTAGGGATATTGGACCACATTTTGAACTGCAGTGCAATTCAGTGCAAAGCGTATACCTTAATCTACTGGGTTTTAATTTTAAGTATAACAGAAATCAAATAATGAAGCTTTGAATAGTTTTTTTGAAAATACTCAAGTAAGAGCTTTTGCCTCTTTTTATGGACTAAGTCCTCCAAAGGCTTGACAAGTAAATACAAAGTAGATAAGGGAATAAAAGGATTTTTAAAAGGACAAGTAAGAGGCTTGGGCATACAATTACTTAGTTTCCAAAGTGTTCAATGAGTATAAACCTCAAAAGAGCATTTTATAACAGTCACACGACACTGAAGCATGAAACATTTCTTTTAAGATTTCTTCTAAATGCAAATCTAAAGAAAACTTCACTGTTTTACTAGCAACTTCAGTGTTTATTTAATCATATGCTACAAATATTAAGATGACTCTGTGCTTTTACTACAGTCAGTTTGACAGTGGGGACTCATTCTATTTTCTCTGTGAGTTGTACACACTAGAAAGAAGGTAAAACTTCATTACAATAGGATATGACTTAATGAACAGATCAATTTAAAAACGTAGCCCAAATATCCATTGCATTGAGGTCAGAGCATTTTAACTAAGGAGGGCAAATGTCTTCCGATTGCTTTTTCCTTTTAAGTGAGAAAGACACACCTATGCAAAACCTGGATTTAGGCTTAGGAAGTGAAATTTCTGAATTTCTCTATTTGAAGATTTAATCAAAGTCACATCTTAATAGTACTACTCTATAACTTACAATACTAGATGCAATCTTAGAAGATCTGGTGACTTATGTTCTACATTTTAATTAAAACCTTTTCTTCCAATATTATGCATTCAGTCAATGCTCAGTTAATTTAGTTCACAAAATAAAAGCCAAGAGTGAAAGAAAAAAAAAAAACCTTCTTTCCATATAATATGTAAGCTTCATTTTGTTAAGGTAAGTTTTCAGCAGTACATTTATTTGACTCATATTTATGCTTGTGATTAATAATTCCACTAAACAGTTTATCGACACTTCAGAACTGTATACAAGACAGAATACTCAGCTATCGGCTGTGTACAGTTATCAGCTTGCAAACCCTACCAATAAAAAGGTGCTGCATAAAAAGCATTAGGCAGTTTTAACTATTTGCAACCAAGAAGCAAATTCAGCAGACGGAACAGACTGAACAGCACACATGAATCCAAAGCACGTGCATTCACCAATCATCTTCACAGAACTGTCTCAGACAATTACGTTTTAATAGCCAAAGGGAAAAACTAAAATAACATTAAGAATACTTGTTTGTCAGAAGAAACAGAAGATAAGTATTCCTTTATAACTAATGCAGAGACAAGCCATCCAGCTCACCACATGCAAGCAGCTTAACACAAACAATGAAAGCATGCATCATGCAAAGCCCCACCATTCTACTACTGCAACATCTAAATGAGAGCAGGTCACTGCCGCATTTATGTCTTGCAAAGCAGATCATCATTAACTATTCACTGCAGAAATTCTCAATTACATTGAGAAGAGGAATGTTGACACAAGCTTCTTCCGTTTACAATCTTTAATTTCAGAAGATCAAAATTGGAAAAGCAGGTAGAGTCCATATGATAGAAGCTAACAGTCTCTGCTTGAAAACAAAATAACTTGCAGAAGTTGTATCAATTCATACGATCAAGCACTAATGCGAAATTACCGTGCTCAGTATATAGATGCAGTTCTTTGTAATTCCATGCATACATCATAGCTTCAAAGCTACACTAAAACTGGCATTTGTTAGTACATTGCAACACCTTCAGCTTTCTAAGGCGGTGCAAAAAATCCATTAATCCTTTTATTATGATAGATCAGAGGAAAGAGCCACATGATCCAAAGCTTCATGTGATTCTTTACTGGAGCAGGTGCTGGTATCAGCAACAAGGCAGCACATCAGAAAAGCTGCTTTCAGTAAAATAGCTAAGTATTCGCAGAATCATATTGCAGACCTCCATTATGGCTCACACTGATCCGCCAGTTAAGGATTTCCTAAAGTGGGTCAATAATACTCTCAAGCAAAGCACAGACCCACAGGAAAGCTCCCCCACATAAAAAAAAAAATCAAATAAAGCAAATTATTCTCCCATGTCTTCAAGGAATTATTTTGATTATGTCTCAATTTAGTTCCTGTCAAGCACTTCAATGCATGTTTGTCCACCAAGGCAGATATTTTCAGTTAGCATTATAAATTATTTATTATTTTACATAACACAAGCAGCAGGCAGCTCCTCCCTCTAAGGCATATGGCTCACCCTAGGAGGTGATGAAACAGACATTAGGATACAGTGACTCTAATCACGTTCTCTGCAGTATTTGTGGAAAATCCTACTAAAACATTCAAGAGATCAAACCACAATATCTTATGAAAAACAAGAATGTGGAAAGAAGTACAGATGTAAAATTAAAGAGCTGGAAGGTACTATGAAAGACTTGGTGAAAACTAAGCAGACAAGCTCTGTAAAACACTTATGTTCCAAGAGCAATTTTTAGGCTTGCAGCAAATGCTTCAAAATATACTTGAAGAAAGAATGGTTACTGCTAGGGTGGACCAAGGAAGGGCTACCTAGGGATGGCTGCAGACAGCAAGAACACCACAGACACTACAGGTAGGGCAGTCCAGGATGCATTTCTGAGGATTGAAGTTAAAGATCCAATTAACATGTGTCTGTAGGTCTGATTTTTCAATTGTTTCATAGCCCCTGACAGTGGAAATTTAAGGTTTCAAAAACAGGGTAGTTATTATCAGGAAGGCAGAGATAGGAATTTCACAATCCAGGTCACAGCAGCTGGATGATGATTCCCCTGCCAACAGCCCTCTCCCAAGCACAGTGCAGGAGACTACTTAGAAAGCAAAAAAAGCTTCTAAAACGACCTTTCTTTGCAACTGCAAAAATGGGTAAAGAAATGTAGACATATTTTTCCTCCAGCAGTGGCAAATG